TCCCTGCCCATGGCAGGGGGGTTGGAACTAGATGATCTTTAAGGTCCCTTCCAACCCAAACCATTCTATGATTCTATGACTGAACAGGTTTATGCAAGTTAAGAAGATTTTAAAGTCAAACCGTTGAGAATCCTGATGAGGAACCTTTCACAGAACTTTCTCATCTCAGTTGCATAGTGCTTAGGCAGCCTGTCACCTGGCTGGTGCTGCTACCCTGTGCTAAGATCTGCAGGGGCAGGGAGGCCAGCTGCCACCCTGAATCCCTGTGGTCACTGGTGAGCTACAGCAGACAGCAGTTGACGCTGAGGTGAGATGGCCCACCCCACCAGAGAGTCATAGCGGGAACGGGACACAAACCTCCCTACTTCTCAAACAGGCTGACTGAGTCTAAGCCTCTTCCTCTGCACCCTACTCTCAGCCGAGCCATTCCACACTTATCTGAAGTAGGGGCGGTGCCGAACAAGCGAGCAGAAGCAGCAGAGCAGCCCACCTCCCATCACCTGAGGTGCGGGTGGGAAAAAAGTGAATACACCTATTCTCTGTATACAGCCCCCATAGCCCCCGCGCAACTCAACAACCAACAGGAGGTGTAGAGCCACACGCGCCTTTAAGCATCGCAAGAACCCTGCCCCGCCCCCTCCGCTGCTAGGAGACAAGCACTAGGCGGAGTTTTTGCAGACGCCATTTTTTCCCCCAAAAGAAACTGAGATCGCTTTCCTTTACCGTCTTCTATTGTCTCCACTGTTGTTGCCGCTCTTCTCGTGACTCCTGTCAGGAAGGTAAAACAAAGAACTTAGGCACGCTGCAGCGGAGAGGGGTGGATCGCGCTCCTCTTCTCGTGATCCCCAGGCGTGTAACGCTGTGGTCGACACGGAGGGCGGGGCGAACTAGAGGCCATCCCTGCCCTGACAGGCAGCTGCTTTACCCAACGGGGCCGCAGTGGGTCCCCATGGAGGGGAGGAGAGGAGACGACTGGGTCAGTCGCCTGGCGGCGCTACTGGATGTGTAAGTTGGTGGTGGGAGTTACTCACCTTTCTTGTTCGTGGCGGGTCCAGGTAAGCACGGCTTGTGCGTGTAGCTGATCAAGGTGAGGAGGGGGTGTGGTGCGTGCAGGGCGTTAAGCCGGGAAGTGGAGCTGTTGATCGCGCCCATCTTGATGCTGCTGTGCGCACAGTAACGCGGGAGGCCTGAATTGCCGCCGGGCTCCAGGATTTTCGTGGGTTCTCGCAGGGACAGCACTCTTCTCACCACTGGCGGGGCGGCGGAATTGGGTAGGTCCGGGGACTGTTGCGTGGAGGAGGGGACCGGGAGTGACTTCTCTTTAGCTAATATAGTGGCTTGGTGCAATCTGCGGGCCTACGAGGGCCCATCTATTCTGAGGGAAGGGCGAAAAGGGTGATCTGTGTCTGCCGGCAGCCGTCGCGCCTCGGCGACCTCATGATGGCCCAATCGGTGGGTTCCCGGACTGGCGATGTGGTGGAAGCCGTCTGTGCTAGCGG